CTACTACTAGTAGTACGACTACTACTTTTACTACTACTACTACTACTACTACTACTACGACTACTACTTTTACTGCTACTACTACTACTACTACTACTACAGACGGGCATACTACTACTCTGGGGCTTCAACACCTGGCACAGGAAGCTCGGGAAGTCCGGAAGGCAAAATCTGATATAAACGATAATAACAAATACTTACAAAGCTGCTGGGCTTCCTTTACACAAAGCCATCCCTTATCTGTCCCTCGGAAGCATACAGCCTCCTTCACAAATCAGGGGGCACCCCACTTACAGCACTTGCACAATCTGCGAGCTTCTAGCTCTTCCGTTCTGTCAATGGCAGCGCCGCTTTCCCGCAGATGAATGCATTTGCCTGACCGGGTAAAATATCCCACATCCCCTGCTCGCCTGGGTGGCAGACAAGTTCCTGGCAAATTGCATGGGCCTCGAGGTAAGAGTACTATGTATGCAGTCTCCATTCTTGGTTAGATACACTAGTGTACGCTGCTCTGAAGGGGGACACCTCATAATGACATCCTTCTTCATATTGTAAGGGCGCTTCAACCGGTCTATCACAACCGAAGTTGTCCTACTCCCACCCAGAGGACGCTCCTCATTGCTAGTCACTGGCCTGCCCTGTTGCGAACTTGAAGACGTAGTCTCGGGCTCCATTCTCCCAGGACTTGCCGCCCTAGTGGGTCCTATGTGGGATCCGCTATCAAGGTCTTGATGCTCGATAACCGAAGAGTCATCTACATGGGAACGGGATCCTAAGCCGGTATGAGGACCCTCAAAACCACTGAGGTCCTGGGTTGGCCTCGTCATATGAACCTGCTCCTCCGACTGTAACGACACTCCCGAACTCCTAAGAGTGTTCTCGCTGAAGGTTGACTTCGTTACATGTCCTGTAGCATAACTATGCTCGAAACCCCTCAGGGTCAACTGAGTTCTCAGTAGACCTGGCGCGCACTCCTTCAAGGTTCAACCTTATCACCCTAGAGGGACCTACTGGTTGATCGGCTGACTGTCTTGGTGTCCCTGCAGAGTCTTGGCCTAGAACCCTAGGGGGGCCTACTGAGTGGTCGGCTGACCTTCTTGGCGTCCCTGTAAGGTCTGGGCCTGGAACCTTAGGGTGGCCTGACCTTCTTGGCGTCCCTGTAAGGTCTGGGCCTAGAACCTTACGGGGGCCTACTGGGTGTTCGGCTGACCTTCTCGGAGTCCCTTTAAGGTGAGGGCTTAGAGCCTTAGGGGGGTCTAATTACTGGGTATTGCCCGTCACATCCGTGCGCACCGTGACGTTAGCACAGGAGAGAACTGAACGCCTTCGGTGTTCCGCCTCCTCAGTCCCGGGCCCTTCTCAGACACAGGAGTGTTGACACGATCCGACTCCTCTCGCTATAACCCCTGCAGCACGTCAGTCCTGATGTCTCCCCACCTGATGCATGCACAGGCACAAAGCACCCCGAGTGCACTAAAACATATCGCAAGAAGCACAACGCATACCCATAGCTCCCAGGCCCCCTCCGACTCATCCAGTTCCAACCTGTGACCATTAACCGAATGCATCGAAGCTAGCAAGCGTGCTACTGCCAACGTATTTGCACTACCTTGCGAACGGCCCGACCCCTGACTATCCGTACTTGGACCACGAGGCATGCCTGAATCAGTTGTCCATTCTCCAATCGAGGAAGTGCCCGCACTGGACTCGCTTTCCACCTCAGCCACATCATCTACGTAGGCTATCTGGCGTCCTCTCATCGCCTGAAGGGGAGATCTGGGGGTGCCGGAACCGTAGGGGCTCTTGCCTCCGCACGCAGGACATCAGGCAAGTCTACAAAAGGTTCTGGTCCAATCCTGCCCCCTTCATATGCCAACGCCGCATCGTAATGACTTAAACTCGTAGGTACCCGCACCTCAGGAGAACCGTCCCTATCAACCGGACCGGGAAGATCCCACAACCCATCATCAATCCCTCTAGAACTGCAATTCCGGTCGGCCCTCGCAGCCGCTTCACACTGATCTTCATACGTGCTTGCATACCTCAAGAGCAGCTCCTCTTCTTCCATGGGGAAAGCTCCCAACCACTTCCTTCGGACTGAGCTGGGGAGCCTGGACCAGGCTCCCCCCGTCCTATGCTATCATCTGACAGCGTGTCACCTGTCTGGGTGTCTGGGTGGTTTGATGGCACGGGGCACGTGAACCGGGCGGGGTCCTTGGACCCATAGATACAGGCGGTCTCTGAAAGCATCTGTTTATCGCGGCTCCTAATCTACCTGCACACCACCATCCTAGCCCCATTCCGAACCCCACTACGAAACTTTGGCCTAGCAACCAACCGTTCTCACCCGGAATCTTCAGAGGACTCGCGCTCACTCCTGACATCTGGATAACAAGCAGTAGCGCCACTAGGGCCTTTGCCACCCCCGTCTGCCCGGTTGCTATGGAGGCTACCTGTGGCCTGGGGCCAAAGGTCA